AATGATGCCGTTGTTGACTGACTCCACCAGTGGCCAGTGATCCACAGCCTTCAACCTTATGAGCTGTAGACAAGCATCTTGTGCATGCTCCTACTTGAATAATAGATTGGCGCCGCGACTTGGGATCCATTTCCTGAAATCGGTTACACGACCTTAAGTGAAACTGATATTACTGATCATTTTCGCTGGTGCATCCGCTAAATTTTCCAGTGCACCTAGAGTCTGTTTTCCAGTGCACCTTGCTTTGTTGGGTGCTGGTCATGTTGAGCAAAATTGGGTACGAACAATAATCAATAGAAAATTCAATTTACTTTTACAAACTCCCGGCGCTGTGTGGCGGTAGACAGGAAAGTATGTAACAGGTAATTTGCAGCTTTTCCGAACCTATAAAATATATATGTTCTTGATCAGGATAACTAGCCGAGTAGGTCTAAGAAGTTAAAATTAAACAGCGCCCACTCTAGTGCCCACAAACCGGGCAAAATCGACCTATGAACGCTTATATCTCGGAAACTATAAATGCTTAAAAGTTGGGACTAAACATGTAGATTATATTTCAGAAGAGTGCCACGCCCACAAACCACCCAAAACTCTGGCGCCCACATTTTCAAAGATTTTATTTTTATTTTATTTTATGAGCAGCCAAAATGCACCAAAAGGAGGATGGTAGTTCATGGTAGAGTTGTACCTCTAGAATACAAAAAAAAATCTAAAGTTTTAAATAGATGTTTTTTAATAGATTTTTAAAATAAATTTTTTTGGTATCTCCTTGTTTTTAATTATATCTTGAGTTGCGCTGAACCGATTTAGGTAGCAAATATTTTAGTTTACAAATAAAGTGTCGCCCTTTAATTTTGTCATATAAATGAATAGGCTACATTGAGTATATTATGAGCTACAACACGCCAAGCTTTGAAAATTATTTTTCAATAGTAGTAAAATAACAGATGTGCTTGTCGGGCTTGCAAATTAATTGATCATTAATTGCTCTTTAGGGGTTACTAATGTCTGTCTTGCTCGCACTTACGAAACATTTTTCAGTCTGCTTCTAATGAATGAGCCAAACAATGACGTCATTCTAAAGTTGAACTAATGTAGCAAAAAAAACTCAGCTACAAAAATACCAAGCATCAATCAATATTCTTTTGGCAAAAGCCGTATTTTACTAAAAATATCAAGGCGATAAAAAAAGAGATAGATGTTATGCATTACCATAAATTACAAAACAAATTGCAGAAGCGTTGTTGTCTGAACAGACTATTACTCGGTAATTTTTAAACTGATAACACTGGTAAATTGTATATGTGTGCATAATTTCCATATGTATGTTTTGCTAGAAAAGAAACCATTTATGTTCATTCTGAATTCCAGTTCATACATTATGAGTATCAAATTCAGCATATTTGAAAAATTCGTGAGGATCAAAAATCATACAGAAGTTGGTTGAGTTTGGAAAAGAGACGCAAGCCATTCCATTGGATAAGCGGATTGCTATTTTTAACATATGAGTTGAAGGATATAGCTATTACTGATTACAAACTGCAGGACCTAAATTAACGAAGATAAGCCACTAGGCCAGGAACACTCATTTGGTCGCTGAAGCGAAACCCTCATTTGTGTGAATATGATATAAGAATTTCACTAGTCGAAAAGTCGTATTCCTTGTAGCATGGTCTTACTGTGAGTCAGCTGGGTATTTTGACTAAAGCCTAGTACTCAGGTCAGCTAAAAGTTTCACTAGTCGAAAAATCTTATTCATTGTAGTGGGACCGAAGTTTTCTAAGTTCACCCGCAACGCATGTGGCATGGTCTTACTGTCAAGCAGCTGGGCGTGTTGCCAAACGGAAAAGAAATCAATTGGAGCAATTTAAAAAAGAAGAGCCTGCTGGTGCACAAAGAAATTAAAATAAAAATAAATGAAATGTTCAACGAATGTTTTTATTTATGTTAATTAGAAGTGTAAGGCTTCCTTCTCGTCCCACGGATGCTTCGCGATCTTTCCCCCGCCATCTGTAGTCCAGCTCCGAGTCCCAATGGGCTGGCCAATAATGGCTGGTGATGGGTCCTCCAGCTGTCCCTTAGCGGGCGACCATATTTTCTCCTCCCTACAGAAGCCGACGCGTCCCACTTTAGCTGTCAAGTAGCTGGTGGAGGTGCAGTCCTCAATGGAGAGCTCGTCGGAGATCGAAAGATGTTCCATGTTCCTTCCCACTGGGATTCTTTAGTGGATCTTCTCCAAAGCTTCAACTACTCTGCGGACTTTCCCCGTTGTGGAATTGATTCCTGTCGGTCAAGTCCCACAACAATAGGCAACAGCTTGGATTAGGCGTCCTTTTTCATCTGCACTGGCCTCCTTTAGCCGTTTTAGGTGTTTTTCTTATTCTTTCGGCCGCGGCTAACGGCGTTCATCGAAAATTCACTCGTAAAATATGGTATTTTTTCTGGTATTTCATCAGCTTATCTGAGTACCGCGCTGAAAAACAGACCCGACGAAAACCTTTAGCTGCCTGTTTGCCTCTCGGTCACTCCTATGGTTAGCTCGCGCTTAGTGTAGTGTAGTAGTATTGTATAGAAATATACTTTTAATAGTACAACTTAAACTTGTGGGCATAACCTATTTTCTTTGCGAGGACACGTTCGGCAGGAAACCCATGTAGGGAGCGAAGTCTCACACGATATACTCCTTTTCAATGTGCTCTCCATTGGTTCACCTCCAGCACTTCTGCTTACTTGCCCTGCTGTGGTAAAGTTTCCTGTGGTTCAAGCCCTATAAAACTGGGGGATCCTCAATATCTTAAAATAGGCCTACTTTTTCTTTTGCACTACACTCCTGCATGCGTTTGTCTCGTGGTTTTTGGAACACCGCTAACGGCGGTCATCGGAATTCTCTCACTAAATCTGGTATATTTCTGGTGTTTCCTTAGCTCATCTGTGTACCGCGGTGAGTCACAAACCCGACGAAGAGCGTTATAGGCGCTGCACACAGCTGCTTAAAATCGCCGTTGCATTTCCTTCTCAAGAAATCGCGAAACGCCAAGTAGCAAAATCAGCTAGACTCGTAAAAAATACTGAATAAAAACACTGAATTACTGAATCGATTTGAATGTGTGGTTCCATTTTCCGCTGAAACGTGGGGAAGGGACTTTTCCCCTCTCGCTTCTGTGTATTTCTTGTGGAAGAAAAAGTCGCTGAAGCGGTGTGAGAGATTGAATAACTCCCTACAAATTGCAGCGGCAGTTATTCGAGAAGGCCTGCCGGCTCCATAGAGTAGTAAACTATATAGAGCAACCATTTGCGTCACACAATACTCCCACAATACTCCCTATTTAATTGTCGCTACGCTTGCCTGCATGGAAATATCATCCTTGATCAATTTACAAATAGCAATGAAAAGTATATTAATTTAGCGCTGAAAACATTCCACATGCTGACGTTCCAATTTGATTTAGTTTGGCGTTGCTTTGCATTTTTTCAGAGCATTTCCAATCTGCCAATATGGACCTTGAGGGTAAAAAAAACGGAAGTTCTTCTGCTAGTGCTGCAGGAAGTCGTCCAGCAACCTGACAAAGGCTGGTGATGGGTCCTCCAGTGGGGATCAACATCCGTAGTAATACATGTACAGCTTCCCTCAGCGCAACCATCACCTTATCCTTAGCTGGCAAGTATTACACATTATTAGCAGTTCTGCTTAAAGTATAATTTTATTAGAAGAACGTAACCAAATTCGTTTATACCCTTTTTTTCATAGAGTCTGTTGATTGGAAACGGCTGGTATTTTTGACAAATGTAGAACTCCGATTCCCACAGAGTACATTTACCATCTACCATCTGATAACCGCTGATCTAAAGACCTGTTGCTTCTGAGCCTTCCATTTTCAATTTTTGCTTCCGTCATAGAGTAAGAATATATATCTATGCCGCTCTCTTTGGAGACTTTGCCAACGATGCCACCCAGGCGAAAAACGATAATATTCTTAGTATTTAAAATGTTTGATGTGACCTTGTAATTCTATGCCGCGGTGGGTTTTATGTGAAATTATATATCTTCACCGCTTTCACTCACTGTTTTGTTTTTGTAACCTCACCACTTTTGCTGTTGCTTCGCACTTGTTGGGTGTGTTGGGAAATCGAAGTTAGCTTCGAACTTGACTTTGAATTGCCTCTCAGCAGAGGTTGCGCAGAGGTTCGGGCAAAGCAAATGGTTGCTCTGTATAGTTTATTACTCTATGTATATGGAGGATGGTTCTCTGTGGGAAGAGGGTAATACATTCTTTGCAAGGTCACGTCCTGTAGGAAATCCATGTAGGAAACGAAATCCCACCCGGCATGCTCCTTCCCAACGGGCTTCTTCAGTGTATCTCCTACTATTTAACTTTTCTGCTGCTTTGCCCTGTTGTGATACTTGTAGTTGGTTTCAAAATGATGTTTGTGGGTCAGGTCCCACAATACTGGCCGACTCCTTGGATTAGGCGTACTTTTACATCGCACTGAACTCCTAATGGTTTTTTTGCGTGGTCTTTGAGTTTTCCCCTCCATTTATATTTTTTTTTCCGACACATCTTCTGGATCAATAGCGAAATATTACGTGTTTTCTTCTTTGAGCGGCTTTTCGAAATTCACTTAGGAAATCCGGTATTTTTTTTCCTTAGCTACTCTTAGTACAGCGGTGAAAAAAGGACTTTACGGAAAGCCGCCTATTTCCCTCTCGCTCTTAACTATATCTGGCGCACGATTTTGCCCAAAGTAACGAAATCAAAAATTCTTAATTTTAGGCCTCAAAAGCAATTCATACTAAACAAGTAGTAACTTTGTTTGTGCGAGGGACTTGCTCATACGGAAGAAGAGTATAGCTTAAACTCACTTTTAAATTGACGTTTAAATCATTAACTGACCATGCCTTTATAACCAAACAAACCACAGTAAATGTCAAAAAATTAAATTCTAAATTAAGCAACATATTAATAAAAACAATAACTTATACTTCTGCAGCTTTAATGAATAAACAACATTTTACTATTTCAGCCTAGTACTCAGATCGGCAAAGAATTTTACTAGTTGAAAAATCATATGCCTTGTAGTTTGACGGTAGTTTTAAAAGTTCACCCGCAATGCATGTAACATGGTCTTACTGTCAAGCAGCTGGGCTTGCTTTATTGACAGGCGAAAAATTTTACCAATTTAGAAAAGACGAATCTACTGGTGCACAAAGAAATGAAGAAATAAATTCAAAGAATGCTTTTTTTTATATTATTAGTAAGTTAGGGCTTCTCGTGTCGCGGAAGCTTCGCAATCGTCCCCGCGCCATCTGCTGTCCAGCTCCGATTCGCAATATGGCAACATGGGCCTTGAGGGAGTGGGAGCCAGATTGGGAACCTGGTTGTTCCGCTGATGCTGCAGAAAGGCGCCCAGCATTCTGGCAATGGCTGGTAAAATTTCTTAGCGTCCTTTTTACCTCCTCCCCATAAAAGCCAACGCGTCCCCCAGCTCCCCATTAGCTACCAAGAAGCTGGTGATGGTGGAATCCAGCGATTTGCCAACGGACAGCTCGTCAGAGATCGTATAACTAGTGGTTCTGCGTAAAAATACTTATATTAATTCAACGTAACCAAATTATTTTGGCCAGAACTTACTTTTCTTCTCAATTGTCTTCTCGATTGGATTATCTCCAGGACATCCACTATTCTGCGGATTTGGCCTGCTATGGTTCTGCTTTCTGTGGCTCAAGTCCCATAATAACGGGCAACAGCTTGTATTAGGTGTGTTTTTTTATCTGCACTGACCTCCTGCAGGCGTTCTCGGGGCTTCCTTCCATTTTTAATTTTTTGTTTCCACACCGCTTCTACACGAACACACCGGGCTAACGGAGTTCATCGGAATTCACTCACGAAATATGGTATTTTTTCTGGTATTTCCTTAGCAAATCTAAGTACCGTGCTGAAAAACAGACCTGACGAAAAGCGTTAGCTCACTCCAGTTAGCTCGCGGTTTTTGTCGATGTGAGTACTATATTCAAGGCATTTATGCTCATAGGAATTGCCATGCGTCTGTCCTACGAGCACTTACGTTAAGTGGTATAGTCTTTATACGGATCTATCGGAGTGGAATTTTAATTCAAAAAATAGTTCTTGATTTATTTCTTTGATTTTTTTGGTTGTACGGTATTTTAAAAGATTTGTATTCTTAAGTGGCATTTTTATCAACTACCTTACCTCTTACAGAAGTCCGAAATATTACTCTTTGATTTTGCAGCCCTGTATTTGGTATTTTTTAGTCCATTTTAAGTGTTAATCTTTTCTACACAAGTATCTTAAAATGTCGGATAAACATTACCAATATATTCAGAAAAACTCTATTTAAACTAAAAATTTGTTCGGGAAGTTCCCTTTTTACTGACAAGAAGTAAGAAACTACAAAAAGAAACAAAATATCGATTTAAATGTTCGGCGAATTTACTAAAGGACTTGACGGTTACAAAAAAATAGTTTATCCGCTGATGTAAATGTTCATTATAGTTTTAGATAACATATTACCCAGACCAAATAATCCGCGATTCACTATTCACAAACATAAGAAATGAAAAATTGAGTAAATCCATTACAGAATGTGTATCTCATAGATACAAACACATACAAGAAAGATTTTTACAAACACATACACACAGTATATGTATGCTAATATGTACATACGTATGAACACATTTTTGTAACCCAATCAAGCAGTTTAACTAAAATTGTAAGGATCAGAGTCTAGCGAGCATTATAATTTATATTATCCAATAATGATGACAATCAAACCCATTAGGGCTTTAAGAATCGATCACAGTTTATTTTACCAACCTTTTAACTATTCACAGTTTAATCTACAGTTTAACTTAAACTTAATTTCAATAAATAAAGGGTTAATAACACAAGTACCGTTTTGAAAGATAATTATATTTTTCATTAAACTGTCATGATGTATAAATGTTTTCTAAACAAGTTAAAGAACATACATACATTTTATTTAGTTAAGGACATAGCTACAAAAGCACTCTTGACTTCTTCTAAAGACATGTACATATATGTGTGTATGTACAGTACATTATTTATAACGCCTAACATGTGTAGTGTGCAGTCAAAGAAACGATTGTTGGGTAAAAATATCGAAAATCTATCCTCGATGTAGCGCGAAGTAGCGAAGAAATTCATAATTTGTGTTCAATACTTTTTCAGAAAGAAAGCTAAAGTCTATATATCCTTACAGCTAAAACCATATCACAGTTTTTAAAATCATACGTATATTATACGCACATGGAAAATTTGTATATTAATAAAATAATAATTTCGAAAATGTGATGTATTCTTTTTTTTAAATTTAAATTAGAAATACATAAATCTTAAAAAAGTCTATTCACCAGAGGGTATATAATTTTTGTCATGTTCTCATGTAATTTCCGATTAATTTTTCGATTTTGCCTTGGACAGATAAACTTTTTATTCGAAGTTCAGAAATATTAATGTAGAAGAGAATATGATAAAAACAATGAAGCTTCAATTTGGTTCATATTTTTCTCTTGCTGATCAAGAATACATATGGGCAATTCCAGGGAGTCGTCGGAACGTTCGCACACTTTTAAAAATTAAAAAAAAATTCAAAAAAAAATTTAATTTTCATAATGGGCTTTTCTTCTTACTGTTCCTTAAGCTCTATAATGTTTTTTAACCTTAATTTTGCACCATTTTTATTTTTTACGATATCTTGAAAGGGGTAATATTTTGTAAAATGTTTCAAACTTTTTTTCTCGGGACATGTCGTTTGGAAGATTTTTTCTTAGCGTTTTGGTAAGTGGTTTTCTTCGCCTTTGCTTAACAAATATAATTTTTGAGTATATTGACAGGATTTGATATTAAAATGAATCAAATTATATTAAATTGTGTTGCTGGGTTGGGAATCTGTTTCCTTAGAAACTAATTCCAACCAAAAATAAAGCAATAACGCCTTTTTAATGCTTTTTGGATTTGTAGACTTTCTGGATGAAATGCCCATGCATATACGTTTTTGCGTCGGAAATGGTAATTCACTGCATTGGAAACTTTCGACTTAAACTACAATAACCACTGCAAGGGTATAAAAACAAAACTGAACACTTAATCAAGCACTCGACAATAAAAAAATATTACAAAATGTAGACACCTGACAGATTTGAGCGCTATGTGCGTTAAAGTGCAAGACATTTTATGACTTCAAAATATTTTGTCATCTTGTATTAGTATGAAATTTGGAAAAAAAATCAACTGGTTTCAAAAACTTAGTTTGAATAAATAGGCTAGCGTTTTCATACTTGTTTTCAACTGCAATTTTAAAAACCACTTTCTTTTTCAGAAAATCCTAAGTAATGGGCCTTTGTTTTTCACCTATAATCATGACTGTACACAAATACCTAGGCTGCATTTACCTTGCAGTGATGTTGTCTGCACATTTGGCTGCTGGAGCTGTAACGTCAAGTGAAAGTGATGATGAATATTTAACACAAAAAGGTATTGTAAAACGAATACTTTATAATAACTAAGCGCCTAAACGGTTTCAGCAATATTAGTGTTGTTGGAAAATATTTGTTTCCCATAATTTGCATTTTTATTGTAAGATAACAAATATAAATACGTTTCATTAAGAAAATGCAAACACGTTTTTTTTTATTAAAGGGCAAACCAAATTTCCACAATCATAAAGTCCCTATCGAAACTTGTGGGCGTTAGAGTGTGTGGGATAAATCGGGATAACAACCTTTTTTTATTATTATTTTTAGGGCTTTTATTAAAAAACTCGCTAGTTTTTGGGATAATAGCGTTCGCACGGAGAGACGGACATAGTTAAATCGACTCGACAACGTACCTCTTACGCAAAAATTGGTGCTCCGTTTTACCCAAAACGCAATTTTTTTCCATTGACGAAATGATAACAGAAACGACCCTTTTTCTGACAACACAAAAGTAAAGTGAAAACCGGAGCACGCCCCTATAAATAGTTTTTTTTTGTAGTTCAGAGTTTTATTTGGGCTCTTCGTCATCTGGTTAAAGCTATCTTCTAGACCGAATAGTGACAATGTATATATTATGACCCCGTTAATTTTTTATCTATCTTGGCAGTCACATAAATCGCTTAGCTCTGAATTCTTATTTAAGCTTAGAACCCTGTATAATAGTCAATTGAGCGATTTTGGTCAGCCGGATAGAAAATAATACAATATATATAGAAACAAAACAAATTTTTATGATTTGATGTATCTTTGGGTAAAAACATTTTATTTTTAACTTTTATAAGAACACTTTGGCTTGAAGGTCACTAGACTCTATCATCTTTCCTTGTTCCATGTCCGTATCATCATACTAGATTTACCATGCACATTTATTTCTGCCTTTCCTCTAAACAAAAATAGTTTTCACAGTATGGCAGGCGCATTATTGTGCGGCAAGGGAGACATTTTTCTACTTGTTACTCGTCGAGGTAGGGAAGCGTCTCCGACCCCATAGTGTATATATATTCTTGATCAGCATCACTAGCCGAGTCCGTCTGTCCGTGTGAACTCTGTGATTTCGAAAACTATAAGAGCTAGAGGGTTTAGATTTCAGATTAAGATTCCTTATTTTGTAGCGTCAACAGTTTTCATATTACAAAACAAATTGTAACTTAAATGTATCTGTGTTGTCAATACCTATCGATTGATCTAACGCCAACAAACGCCCGCACATTCAGATCACGGGTAGGTGGCGCATTACAATCTTCCTTTTGCTCCCTTTAGCTGAGTAACGGGTATCTGATAGTCGAGGCACTCGACTTTAGCGATCTTCGTGTTTGAGACTAAATTGAAATTATGTTCAGCTAAATATTAACTGTTCATATAGTGTACACATGTACACATTCGAATAAAAATGAATAAATTTTATCTTTGACTTTTTTGAATAAAAATCACAAATAAGTCTGATCAAAGATCTCTTGAAGTAAGCATCAAAAACAGTTCTTAAACTTGATTTTATAAATAAAAATTTATTTCTTAGATTTATTTGCCATTTGAAAATTGTTAAAAAAGATAAAACTTTTGGCATACTGTTATATATCCTGGTAGTGGGTTAACTGTTTCACTGTGACGTTTTTGTTTCCTGTAACTCTTATTTTCGGTCCCTGGTTTTAGCTCATGCACATTAACTTCAGCAACGATTGCGGCCTTTATTTTGCAATCTTATTTTAGTGCAAAATGCGACGATTCGTGCCAAATAAGCTTTTGCATTGTCTTCTGAAATTGGCTTATTGAATGCCTTCATTTCATACCATTACAGTGCGTTGCCAAATAAGACATTATATCATATGCCGTTTAGCGATCCAGATAACAGTTGTTTTACTTCAGCTAAAAAAATTTATTTAATATTTTTGGTTAGAATAAACATGTTAACTAAACTTTATAGGTTTCGGCAATATATCAGATAAAAAATATTGGACACGCCAAAAAAACAGGATTAAGCATGAAGGTTCTTGAGATCCTTGCGCAGCACAAGTTTGATTTAACAAAGTCTGTATACAATTATGAGCAACTAAAGTTTTCGTTTTTTTTAAATTTTATTTGTCAATATCTATTGACGTGCCAAAAATTGATAAAATCTTACCATTAGTAAATTAGTTAAATGGGTTACTTGAGTAACAGGTATATAATAGTCGAGGCACTCGACAATAGCGATTTCTCTTTTTATATTATTAAGTTATAAAGGACTGTATTTAATTTCCTTTTATTCTATTTTAGAGGTCATTTTAGAAAAGTCTTATCATGGGTTGATTCGAGAAAACGAAACTTTAGTGGAAATAACTCCATTAATTAAAGTGGATGAAGAAAAAATTTGTAACTTTCATATTCTCAAAAAGCCATATCATGAGATTCCATTTGAGGTAAGTTTTCGATTTTGCATACTCTCTAAATAACTAACAATTAATATTTTAGATTGAACTGGCTAATAACCTTGGAATTTTAAAAGCACGCCGGACGTTGAATTGCGAAAAACGCAAGAGCTATCATTTTGAAATTGTTGCAGTATATTGCGATGGAACACCTTCAAATACAGCTAATGTTCATATTACTGTTATCGACATAAATGAATATGCACCAACATTTTTGGAACCGTCTTACGTAACAGAAGTTGACGAAGGTCGACTTTACAACGAGATCTTAAGAGTCGAAGCTTCCGATAAGGACTGTACTCCACTTTTTGGAGATGTTTGCAAATATGAGATACTTAACAATGACGAACCATTCTCAATAGATAACGAGGGCTCAATCAAAAACACTGAACCACTTTCCCATAAAGCATCGCATAACCACATACTATCTGTTGTTGCCTACGACTGTGCAATGAAAGAATCTGCCGCAATAATGGTTAGCATCAAAGTTCGACGCGTGTGTGAGACAAAGTTTTTAGGCATGCCAGAACGAATTGATTATACGGTATGTATATCAGAAACGTAATAAATTAAAAAATAAAAGTTATTGTTTTTATGTAATCTTCGCGTTCAGTCCGGTAGCACTGAAAGCCTTCAATTGTTTCCCAATGCTCGCTTGGACTTGTGTGATATTTCTTGCAAGAATGAAGACCTGAGTATTCATGCATCAATAGCTCTTAAGGTAAGCCTAACTATATTTGTTACAATAGTTTTCCTTGCGAAAAATTAAATCACTGTTTTATGCTCTATTAACATTTATCTTCAGGGATAAATGTATACATCTGTATACCCTTGCAGAGGACCCTTTGGTTAAGAAAAGTAGAAATATCGGCCTCGACCATTAGATAACCGTTACTCAGGTAAAGGGAGTGCGAGGGAGATACGCGTGCAGCAAATCGGCTGTTTCCGAGATTGCGTCTCAAGCGAAACACGCCATATAGCGTATATTGCATTGTTTGCTTATAACTTTTTACATGAAAGGTCAGATTTGAAAAATGTTTGGCATGTAAATGGGCACTGATAGTCAGAACAAAATCTCATTTACACTTTAACTAAACATTCAATAAATGTGGGCGCCAGACAGGTTTCCGCGTTATAGTCGTTTGTGGTCCATGTATAGTCCCAACATTCTTCCCCTTTTAGTTTCCGAGATCTCACCCGTATGACCGGTGACAGACAGACAGGCAAACATACTTTCCGACGAATCCAATATACCCTTTTACTCTATATAACGTGTATATATATATATATATATTATATATTTTGTGAATCAAACCAAAAACTTCTTAAAGAGGTAAAAAAACATACAAACGTTCTGATTTCTTCTTTTGTGACGAAATTGTAATATAATACAATATAGTGTTCTTCGTTTTTAATTTAATTTTACTTATTGGATCGTATAACAGATCAGATAAGTAAAATTAAATTAAAAGTAAAGAACACAATGTTATACGACAAGGAATGAGAGAGAGGAAATCTTCGAATATCTGCATCTCTTTCTTGCCCGACCGGTTTTGTCGGCAGACTTCGACGCTGCGCCAACTTATTAGCTGACATCGACAGCGGCACAGTGATTTTGCCTGATGAGATGTTACATGACGCGCGTGCAAATAGTGACCATCTTCTTCGCACTTCCTTATCTGGGTAACGGGTATCAAATAGTCAGGGCACACGAATAAAGCGTTCTCTCTTTATTGTTTAACAAGAAAGAGTAATTGTAAAAGTTAAGGATTCGAGTAGCTGTTTTGGAGGGTTAATAACTTTTTACTTGTGAGGTATGCCAAATTTGAGGATTTACACGGAAAAATAGGTCGTTGGGATGAGCTTTGCAAAAATCTCGAAAGACTTTACATTTTTAAAGCATAATTTTGTAACTATTGTATGTAAAGCAATTATGTTAGGAAATCATGGCTATCATTTTTAAATACCTTTCTATTGTCGTACAGAACTTGGCTGTATCTTCAGCCGATTAGAAAAGGCGAACAAATGGGACTTTGTCTAGCTATTTCCGCCAAACTAGCGGATTTTTTTAAAAATTGGTAGAATAGGTTTGTAAAACATTAAATAGACCGGACACCCTAACAAACCGACTAACTGAAAATCATCAGCAAAATCTTTAAAATTGAATTTGATTTGATTTATGCAAGCAGGAAAACGACTTTTTTCGAGATCGCAAGACGTTACTAGCGGCGAATTCAATTTTTTGACATGTGGGCGTCAGACAGATTTAAGCGTTAGGATCTTTAGAATGTGCGTGGCAAATAAATAAAATTAGTATTTTAGTAGCAAAACTGCACGCGGCACAGTTCTAAACGGTTTGTAATAGTTAGAGTGGTCGTGGCAAAGTTGTTTTCAGTCAAATTACTCATTCGGCCCGCTTTAGCAAAGCTTTCTACCCACACAGTCATTTTCAATTGCAGCATTCCAAATTAATATATCTTAAATATAAATTACTCCACTTAAAATAATTTTTCCTCACAAAAGTTGATATCCGAAAGTAAAGTGTTTAGATCTTACATGTATCTTTACAATGACATGTAAAACGTCTATTTAGCATAAGGCGTTTAGGAACTGTGACCCTATTTCTAGCTTTTTGTCCGCTAAACTAGCGGGTTTTCAAAAAAGTTTAGAAGAAATGTTTTTCAGCTCAAACGTATACGACAAAAAGAATCCCAGGTCCCGTTATCCACTTCATCGGCTGTTTACGGCATATATAAATAACTCGCCACATAACCTAAAACCTAGGTGGCGCTAGTGAAATTTCATAAGCAGTAGATTTTCCGTAAGAATATATCTCCATTCCTTTCGCACTCTATTGAGTTCGCTAATTATTTATTTTTTTGTGTTATTTGGCTATAACTTTTAAATGAGTTGTCCGTTAAATTTTTACAAAATATTAACAGGACGAGCGTTAAGTGCGATTGTTTGTGTTGGACTAGATGTGGCCTAATAGAGCATCGTATTGCATTGGTTTTTTTTACCAATCGTTGCGTATTTCAGTAAAGAATATGAAAAACATGAAGGAAACAAGGAAGCTAGCTTTGGCAAGCCGAAGTTTTCATACCCTGGCAGGTCGTTTTCGTGGGACCAGAGCTTTCCGATTTTTAAAAAACTAAAAACTAATTGCAGAAATCTTAGGATATTGTTCCACTTCAATTTACTACCGTATACGCTTACGAAAATAAAATAAAACAGTCTTTGTGTTATTTTGACATTAATTATCCGATCCTTCCTATGACACCTATATTCGAAATTCTGAAAAATTGAAAGGATGATATTTCTAAGAGTAGAAGTTAATATGTCTAAAGACACATAAGTTATAATTTCTTGACAATTTTTAATAATATTTTTTTTAATTTTTTCGAGCTCGCCATAGAAATAAGACTAATGGGCAGGTTTCATCCCAGAAGCTTTAAAACACAGAGACTAGCTTGCGTAGTAACGGACAGATGGACAGATTGATAAAAAAAACAAGGAAGAACGCTATAGTCGAGTACTTCGACTATCAGATACCCGTTACTAGGCTAAAGGGACCGAAGGGAAATGGAGATAAGCAAGCAGTAAAGCGAGATTGAAATGCGCCACCTACCCGTGATCTCAATATATGGTTATGTGGGATGTAGACAGATAGACAATCTTTTTTTTAATCAATTGATAGGTATTGACGAGACTGATGCATTTCAGTTAAAATTTTGTATATAGCATGAAAATTGTGGGCGTCACAGGTTTGGGCGGCTTGTGGGCGTTAGAGTGGGGTGGCATATTCGCGTAATAAACTTGCGCTGCGTACAAAGCCGCGGAATCTAAATCTGAGATCCCAATTCTCTATCTTTAATAGTTTCCGAGATATCAGCGTTCATACTTACGATTTTTTGAAGTTTGTAGGCGGTTTGTGGGCGTTAAAGTGTGGCAAACTTTTTTTTGGTTAATCGATATTTATTGATAAGAACAATACGTTTCACTTAAAGTTGTTATTGTGGACGTTAGAGTGGGCGTGGCACCCTGCTGAATCAAACTTGCGCTGCGCAGGAATCTCAGGAATCTGCATGCCTAATCCCAGTATTGTAGCTCTTACAGTTTCCGAGATCTCAGCGTTCATACGGACAGACGGACATGGCTAGATCGAAACAAATGCTATTTAGCGGAAAAGAAGTGAATAACGAAGATATCATTATTTTCATATTTTTTAAATTTAATTTTCCGATCATTCCTATGGCAGCTATAAGATAAAAACGTCTGATTTTTAAAAAAATCAATTCAAAATTCTGAAATAATTAAATAATGATAACCCTAAAGAAGAAAATAATATGTCAAATAATAATTTTTCATACAAAAAATTCCATTATTTTTCCGATTATTCCTGTGGGAGCCATTGGATATAGTTGTCCGATATTTCAAAAATGTTATTTGAAATTCTGAAATATAAAAAGAATGGCTGATCAAGAATATATATACTTTATGGGGTAGGAAACGTCTCCATCACTGCGCTGCACTTCTGAGTAAAATCATTATACCCTCTGCAAGGGTATAAATTTAAAAGGTCCGGTACATTTTGCCTAACTGACTTATCTTTAAAGAAAATCACAACACCTTTCGATCGAACTTGTTTCGATCGGAAATAATAATTTCGATCGGTTTAATAACTAACGTGAAAAATTGTAGGTTAAAAAAGATTCAGTCAAACGTAATTAATTATAATACAATAATTTTTAGATCGTTTAACCCTTCCAATTCTACACTTCTTTTGTCTTATTTAAAATATTTTTCGGTATTATTCGGTATTTATATTTATCTGTTTGATCTATATAGATACATATATGTATTATATATTTTTAGACAAAACACATCTCATTCGGATGCGATCGGGACATATCAAATTGCACTTCAAGCCAAAAAATGAAAGACCTTTTGCCGCATGGGGCAGAATGGACCAAAGAATTGAGCTACGACGAAGGTGTAGAACCTATATTTCACTTCGATGGGTCCACTGGAGTAGTGGTTCCGGACACTGTTATCGACCATTACGATTTCTCAACGCGTCCTTTTAGCATTCTTAGCATGTTTAGACATAATAGTCAAGGTGTGGCTAATAAACATGTTAAGGAACATATTGTCTGCAGTGCTGACGACCACAAAATGAACCGCCATCATATGGCATTGTTTGTTCGCAATTGTCGTCTTATTCTTTTATTAAGAAAAAACTTTAACGAAGGTGATCTTAATATCTTTAGTCCTGCTGAATGGCGTTGGAAAATACCAGAGGTTTGCGACAACGAATGGCATCACTATGTTCTTAATGTTGAAGACCCCGCCAAGGTTGATTTATTCATCGATGGCGTACGTTTCGAAAATTCTATTGAGGATCGTCATAGTAACCCGGAGGTAATTGACGATTGGCCTTTACACGCTGCTCATGGAGTAAATACATCTTTAGCTATCGGTGCCTGTTATCAAAGTTTGGAAAATAGATTAAAACATGGCTTTAATGGAGATATTTCTGAGGTTAAAGTCACTCTCAATGGTGTATTGACAACTGAAGACATTAAATGTGGAACCACGTGTGCTGAGCACTTATTATCCCCTAAGCAATTGTCAATGAAAAATAAAAAAATGGACTCCCTAAGCGCTCAGATTCAAGCAAACACTCAAATGAATGAAATATATATTGAAGCAAAGACTAAACACGATATTGAACAATTGATGCGTAAAATACAGTATATCAACATTAAACAAAACCCTACATTTGGGCGTCGTAACATAGAAGTGCGTACAGCTCTGGCATGTAGAAATGAAAGTTCCGTTCGTTTGCCGCCAATTGAGACTTATATTATGGTTAACGAACCGATAGCTCCACTCGGCATCGATATTGATGTCGGATCGCCGTCGGTAAATGAAAATATAAATGCCTCTTTGACAGACACCATTAATAAATTCAAATCATTCTTACAGCTCGAGCCCTCTGATCAAGATCTACAGTCGGATTCCATAAAAATAACAATATCTGGTAAGTTTATCGCAATTGTCATATAAAACTCCTCACAGAAAAAATTTAATTGGAGTTGGTAAGTTCTCAAAATTGAATTTGTATGTTTTTGAGAAAGAACTGGAGCACAATTTGCCCATTGAAAACCAGAAGACTTAGTAAATATTGGTCTTTTAGTCGATTCTAAGAACTATCAACGTAAACTTTCCCAATCGTATTTAAAAAACCAATCTGGATGTTTTTAAATATTTACAAATGCATAAAATTATGAAAATACTAAGAGTTTTACTGCTATATCCAATAGACTATAAACATTATAGAAAAGGTAAGGATAAGAAAAATATAAAATGGTATTAGTTAATTATATGGGATTTTATTAAGTTTTAAGAAAAGGTTGTTTTTAAGGGTAATTGTGAATACCTCTATAAATATAACTATAAACCAGCCTTGAATAAGTGTGAGTGTAAAAAACACGAAGTAGGCGCGCAGAGCTCTGAAGCGTGCATTTCTCTGCCGTGATTTCTGTCGCTATGCGACGCCGAACCTCTGCCGCAGCAGCAAAAAAGCGACCCGAAGCTGAGAAAAAAAGACCCAAAGACCCATCCCGAAATCACACGAACATTTACGTTATACGTGAGCGAGCAGCGGATGGGCAGAACAATTCCCTATAGTCACCTAATAGAGCGCTGCCGACCGCTAGTGATAGTGGCGAAGCGCGCAAGAGAGCGTGCGAAGACAACTACTATATATAGCCGCAGAATTGAAAATCTGCCATTATGGTCCGATCGTAACGAGTGATACACCAATCGAAAGGTATCGCACTAACTAAGAAGATTGCATATCAAGAATTTCAAAATACAGATTTGTTTGGGAGAAAAAGCGGTGAAAGTGTAAAAGTAAAAATTTTAAAAATTTGAGCTGATGGATACGGTGGGGAGAAAAGTAGCCGGCTGTTTAGCTAGTTTTATTCTTACTGAAAATATACGTCGAATGACACCTTATTTGTTGAAATCCGATGTCCCGTTCAAAAGTATTTCAAAAAACAAGATTTTTTTCTTCCCAAAATGAAAATGGTTGTCCATTTGTTTGTGGGTTTGTATGCATATGGGTGTATAAAGTAGCTTGAATTAGAAAACGTTTGGAAAAACCTGCTTATAGTATCTAAAAATCTAATGCTACAGAAACGTGAAATATATCTCTGAAAAGATAATTTAATTTGCTAAATACCCTTCATATAGTAAAGTTGTCTGAATATAATAGATTTCGAGTTATGACAAAAAGTTATTTTTTAAAACCACTTTTTGACTATTTTCTCAAAATTGAGTCAAACGATTTCTTTTTAAATTTCAAATTATATAGCCCTTGAGATTCCTCAACTTTTGATATATAACACTTTTTGCCCTAAAAATTACCGTTTGGAAGATATTAAGCGATAAAAATGCAACTCGTTTCAGCTCCGTATACGAAATATACTATATTAAATTTTTGTATTCGGCACGCTACAACAGAAAATTTACGTGTAGATAAATAAATATTTACCGTTGCGGGCCGAAATCATAAATTTAATAAAGTTTATTTATTTTATCGAATGTAATATCATTTTTCGTCACAATTGTTGATATCAGAAATTTTTGTTTTTACCTCGTTAAGAGGTTTTTTTTGTTTGATTTATATATAAAATAAAATGAAGAGTATTCTACGGATTGAATTTTAAAATAATTTTTGAGTTTAAGACGGTCTGTAAGTTACAACAGTCGACTTTCTGAGATTTTTGCCGATTTTGTGTACGATTTTTCACCAAATGAGTTTTTTTTAAATTTTTATAGAGTAAATGAGTATATTAGATTCGTCAAAAAGTATGTAAAAGTTAGAAGGAAGCGTTTCCGCCCCTCAAAGTCTATATATTCTTGATCAGGATAGTGATCCTGTCAAGTCAAGTCAAGTCGACCTAGCCATGTCTTTCTGTTCATGCTGAGATCTCGGAAACTATAAGATGCGCAGCGTATGTTTTTTTAATCGGAGTGCCACGCCCACTCTTACGCCCCAAAAAATTGTATAAAAAATTAATTGTGCCAAAAATTATTTGGAAAGGGGAAACCCTCGTAGGTTTCTAAATTTCGAAAAATGTCCAAATAAATATGTTAAAAACAATTTTATAAATCTGTTCTTTAAAATACCCACTTTGTGTAAGTTGGGAGTCGGACTCCTTTCCCTACTTTCAGCGTTTAAGTAGGGGCACCCGTTTTGAATACAGAAATGCTTTAGCCGACAGACAGACTTTGCCAAACAGCTTAACTTTGAATTTTTTTTCGAATATTCCTATGGCAGCTATAGGATATAGACGTCCGATTGTCACGCGCTTTTACTTTGATCAAGGTAGGCATAAAAAGTAGGATTTGGAAAGATTCATTTCAATACCTTTTACACTACACTACCTTTTATACTCCTCACATATAGCTTAATTTTACAAGTTTTTCTGAATATTCATATGGGAGATAATGTATTTAGACGTCCGATCGGTACTTTAAGAGCTTAAAAGGTTCGTGTCAATAGCTTTTACACTGCGCAAAATATATTCAATTTTTGCAAGTTATTTCTGATCGTTCCTGTGGAAGTTATATGATATAGACGTCTGATCGGCTTTCAAACTTAATCTGTGTACACATATTTTTTGTCGATTGTAAAAGTTTCATATCGCTAGCAGACGGGCATGGCCTTATCGACTCTTCTAGTGATCCTGATCAAGAATTTATAGACTTTGTAGGGTCAGAAACTCCTGACTAAAATTATAACACCCTCTGCAAGTGTATAAATAGACGGGAAAGAAGCTAAAACTAAAATAAATCATTTTGTACAAGTTTGGAGTACTTTTGGGGTGAGTTTTATTGACTTTTTAAAGTGTCCATACTTAGAGACCTTTTTTTAAGCTTGCATTAAATCTTGTTATTTTTTGAATCCAAATGGTCCCATATTGAGTTATTTTTTCTGTGCAGTATACTGGTTATCCATTTGTTATAAAACAAAATATCTGTAGTTAAAATATTTTCAAATGTCTTTTCTCCAGGTACGTCAAATAAGTTAGTATCATATCAGGAAATCAAATTAGGAGTACACATTTTGGACAAAATATACATTGACTCGCTGTCTAAAAAAAGAGGAAAAATGGAAGGCAAAAATTTTCTCGACTCCTGCAGCGTTGTTGTGTTTCCCTCTTTAAACCCAGATCATGAAGACATTCAAATTGATGGAGATGAGTCATTATCATCTAGCATGGATATAAAGACAAATATAAATAAGGATGGAGTCGAAATGATTGGAAAGGACACCATTTACAATTATTTGAATGTGCTACGATCCCTTGTCTACAGTAATAAGAAACCTGCTTATTATCTAAATCGAGTATTTAAGCTTTCTTGTGCTCAGCTAAGCTCCCAGTACAAAAGCGCTGAATATACACTCACACTTACTGTACTGCATCCTAAACAGACATTGTTTAAGTCTACCAATCTACCACCTTCGTCTTCTTTATCCAACCTAAATGTCATTGGCAATACCAACACTGAAACAACTTATCATCTAAATTCTGGTTCGATAAATGACAATGACAATCAGGCAACTGGTGAGTTTTCTATACATATAGGTTATGAAAAATTCAAAAGATATATTTAATATTCATTTTTTTCATTCATTCAGATTCTAAGGTGTATTCATATTCCCAGTTACACACAAATGAAGTGCAAGAACCGAAGTCTCACATTCATTCTTTCGTACACAAAGGTAAACTGAAATGATAAAGGAATATATTATATATGTGTACGAATGATTCTTTGTGAAACTTATCGAGATTTTCTTTATGGTCTCAAAACGATTTCATTTTTTTATCACGACACTATGTCATTTATATAGGATTAAAAAATTAATCCATTTGACAGAAGCAAAGATATGGCGATGCCTTTTATAAAAATATAAAAATTAAAATTCCGACTTGCAGAAAACTGCAATTTTTTCTTTTATGTTTGGACTATAAGTTGCTTGGAAACTGTTATGGGAGTTATTATAATCTGAAAGGTTGGCAGAAATAATAATTAAGAAGTATTTTTTTTTACACCATGTAATTTAAAGTTTTTCATCAACTTAACAAAGAAGGCATCGCCACATCTTTGCTTCTGTCAAATGGATTAATTTTTTTTATTTTTTTAAGTCCTGTATAGATGTTACCGTGTAAAAATATAAAATCGTTTTGAGACCATAAAGAAAATCTCGATACGTTTCACAAAGAATCATTCATATATGTAATGAAAATAATGATCAAATTAACGTTTTTTTTTACTGTACTTAAATATTTTTCAGCTGAAGGCTCACACCTTACAATGCTTATAATTCTTGTAAGTGTTTTTTTGGCCGTTTTGCTTTGTGGGGTTTCGATTGCACGTATAAAGAATAACCAAAAGTATACTGATCGCCACCAACCATGTCCAAAAGTAAGTATATATATAAAAAAATATAATTAATACATTTAGCTTTTTTAATAACGTTGAATAGATACGCTCTCTTATAAAGGTTTAAAAATGTAAAACGAATTTCCCTTATCCCAGCGCCTTATCAGGTGGTGCCTTTATATTAAAATTATTTAGCAATATAGAGGGTCCTGTTTGGTATGTGGTAATGATTAATTTTTAAGGGAATATCTAGCTGCAGCCATGTCCGTCTTTCCGTCCGTATGAAGGCTCAGATTTCGGAAACTGTAGAAGTTAGTTAAGCAAGTTATAATTTAAAATGTATAAATACGTATAAACCGAATGTCATACAGTTGGAGAATGTTAAAAAACAATTAGACATAAACTAACATAATTTGATCACTTTAAGACTTAAGATGTATTAGAACCGTCGTCGCATGCAGACGTGTATTTATTGTGCTCCGGGAAAAAGTATTCAATAAAGTCATAAAAGTGCAGTGACTGGTTCAATAAATTTACAATAACGCGAAAAGACGCTCTCTGCGATGAAATCGCTAATGTTTATATTGATTAACTAATTAATTAATATAAAACATAACACCTAAAACTCTAACTAATTCACCCTCGATTGCAATGAGTCAAATCGACGTTCGCACACAACGTCAACGTGAGCAAGACAAGAGACGGCTCTCAGTACAAAGAAAGAACGCGAACTTCTCTTTTAAAGCAACCGAAAACAATGGAAGCCCTGATCAAGCGAGGCCAATTACCCCCAACTTAACCGAATTCTAAAAAGTAGAGAGCACTAGAGCTCGTTCTTGCTCCCCCTCGCTACCATCGATGTCTCTGCAGCCTAAGAGCGCAGTAACTAGCACCGCAATTTCTTTGACAACGTCAACCGTAACAACAACAACCGCAACTGTATCCACAGCGCGTTTAACGACATCATCAGCTAGCAGCGCAAACATTAATACGTCTGCCACTGCGCTTCCCGAAGAACAGAACAAAAACAATGAACATATTTAGTCGGCTGTGCAGACTGGCATGGATCGCTACATCCTAATCAAAAGGAAGCTGAGCCCCCTAAATTCTCAACGCAAAATAACCCGTGGCAATGCTAGCCTTGCTGCAATAGAAACGCCCACGAACTCAAACCGATTTAAAATCTTGGAAGACGCCTATGAGGTTGAGGCGGATGAATCTACTGAAGTTGAGAAAAGGAAGCCAAAGCCCTCGCCTATTTATATACAAGAAAAAAGTTTCAATGTTCTTATCAACAAAATTATTGAGCTTATTGGCAAGGATAACTTCCACATTATACCCCTTGTAAATGGCAACATTCAGGAAACAAAAGTTCAAGTGAAGTCTGAAGATAATTACAGAGTATTATCGAAATATCTTACCGAGAATAAAAATAACTTTTACATGTACCAGCTAAAAAGCAGCAAGGGCCTGCAATCGTACTTAAGGGCATAGATTCCGAAGTAACGCCTGCAGAGATAACAAAGGCGCTACAAGAGAAGGGATTTAGCGCTAAGACAGTCTTCAATATCCTTAACAGGGACAGAAAGCCGCAGCCACTCTTTAAGGTTGAGCTCAAACCAGAAAAATAAGCCCCTGAAGAAATACGAAGTGCACCCTATATACAATCTTCAGTTCTTGCTGCACCGCCGAATTACAGTTGAGGAACCGCACAAACGCAATGGTCCGGTACAATGTGCGAACTGCCAAGAATATGGCCATACAAGGTCATACTGTAAACTGCGCCCGGTGTGTGTAGTTTGTGGAGAGCTTCATGACTCCACACACTGCCCAGCGAGCGAAGATGGCTGCAACTCGAAAAAGTGCGGCAACTGCGGTGGCAATCACACTGCTAACCATAGAGGTTGCCCAGGTTATAAGGAGCTGAAAAGCCGCATCCCCCAGAGACGATTTACTGCCCGCACCCAAAAGAAAAACGTTGATAGCCTCCAGATCAAACTCTGAAGTCTTCTTCTCGACTGCAGCCAGATCCTCACTAGGACCCATAAGCTCTCTCAAAAATGTGACATACGCAAGCACTTTAAAATCAGGACTGGCTACCCCTCCCTCAAAAGGTTCATTTCTGCAATCAGCATACCAAGAACCGAACACAGCTCAGCAGCATCAATCGCCGGAGCAGCCAAAAAGCAACTTTGAAGCTATGATATGCAGCCTACAACAAAGCCTTACGGAATTTATGTCGTTTATGCACACAACTATGCAAAATGTAATTTAATCTATTGATTCAAATGCTGGTTTCACAACAATCCAAATAATGAGTTTCCTACGGATATCTACGTGGAACGCTAACGGCGTTTCGCAGCATAAACTTGAGTTAGCTCAATTCCTACCTGACAATCAAATCGACGTAATGATGCTTTTAGAAACACACCTTACAAACAAATACAATTTTCAATTACGAGCTTATTCTTTCTACGGAACAAATCATCCAAATGGTAAAGCACATGGTGGAACTGGAATTCTAATCAGAAGCCGTATTAAGCACCACTATCATAACAAATTTGCTAACTAACTACCTACCTACAGGCCACATCTATAAACATACAACTAACTGGTTGCCAGTACAACTTACACTAGCCGCCGTATACTGCCCCCCTCACTTTACTTCAGCTGAAGATGAGTTTATGCAGTTTTTCAACTCACTAGGAGACCACTTCATAGCAGCAGGAGACTACATTGCCAAGCATACAGACTGGGGATCTCGTCTCGTGGCTGCAAAAGGAAACCAGCTCTATAATGCAATTATCAAAACCGGGAACAAGCTCGACTATGTTTCTCCTGGCACACCAACATACTGGCCGGCAGACCCAAAGAAACTACCCGATTTAATAGACTTTGCGATTACCAAAAACATTCCTAAAAATCTGATAAGCGCCGAATGCCTTTCGGATCTTTCATCTGATCACTCGCCTGTCCTGTTTATTCTACTCCAACATCCAGGAACATTGGAACAATCACTAAAATTGACATCACAGAAAACCAATTGGGTTAAGTACAGAAAGTATATTAGCTCACACACTGAGCTAAGTCCTCATCTCAACGATGAAGCTGACGTAGACAGCTTTGTTAATTCACTGGAGTCTGTAATCGTCTCTGCAGCTCGAGCTTCAACACCTCAAACTATAAATACATAATGCAATTAAGAGAAGAGAAATCTACAAATCGAACAGCTCGTCCTCGAAAAGCAACGCTTACGTCGAGAGTGGCAATTCCACAGATCGCCATCTACTAAGCAAAGCTTAAGACATGCCTCACGTCAACTTACTAAAGCTCTACAGCAAGAAGAAGCATATGTCCATTGCCACTACATAGAGCAATTGTCAACTTCTAGTACTATAGAGCCTCAGCTTCAACATGAGCCAATTGAATTTCGCCCAAACGAAATCGTTAACATCATCAAAAATCAACTGAATCCGAAAAATCCCCGGGCTGCGACCACATAACTCCCAAAATGATCACTGAGCTCCCATGTTGCGCCGTTTGCGCTATCACCCAGCTTTTAAATGCCATCGCGAAACTTGGCCACTATCCAGTGACATGGAAAAAGTCAATTATAATAATGATAGCAAAGCCGGGAAAAGACCACACAATCACCACATCGTATAGACCTATAAGCCTACTTTCATGCTTATCTACACTCTTTGAAAAATGCGTATTGACTCGGATAAACACATAACTAAGACTCCGGAAAGGAATCCCGTCACATCAATTTGGGTTTCGTGAAAAGCACGGAACAATTGAGCAGGTCAACCGGATAACATGAGAAATTCGGAACGCGTTCGAAAAGCGAGAGTACTGTACTGCCATATTTTTAGATGTCTCTAAAGCATTTGATAGTCTGGCTAGAAGGTCGAATGTACAAGATTAAGACAATGCTCCCCTACAAGCTTTTAGAGTCTTACCTTTACGACAGAAAATTTGTTGTGAGGTGCAACACTGCTATATCTGATGATTTCACTGTTGGAGCTGGAGTTCCTCAAGGTAGCGTGCTAGGGCCAACATTTTATGTCCTCTACACAGCAGACATCCCGACAAGCACATGACTAACAACATCTACGTTTGCTGATAATACAGCTATTCTTAGCCGCTCAAAATGCAGAGCAAGCAACTGCGCAGCTAGCTCCCAGTTATGGGGGAATGCCAGGAAAGATCTTGAGAACAATCACCGGGGCACCGTGGTACGTTCGCAAAGAAAACATACATCGCGATACATTATTCTACCAGTCAAAGAAGTGATCGCAGAACAGAAGGAAAAGTACTTTACCAAGCTATTGTTGCACCCTAACCACCTGGCGAGAAGTCTAACAAGGTTGAGCAACCAATCACATCTTCGTCGCAATGACTTACCCATCCAGCGACCGACTTGAGGGGCGCTCAACCAGAATGCAGTCTTATTGTAGTGTACTGTTAGTTAAATTTTAATGTTAAAATTCGTAAACTTATTGTTAGTCTCAAAATTAAAAAAAGATTCAATAAATAAAAGCAAAGTTCATAAAAAAAAAATTTTAGGCGTTGTCTAAACCGTAAAAACTATTTCCAGCAAATACATTATTTTAGTTGATCGCCATTATATTAAATGGTTTTATCTAAATTGCAATTAACGATCAATATTCATTTTGAATTTGTAGATTGTTGATGATGGCTTAGTTTGGGATGACTCAGCTTTGACTATAACTATAAATCCAATGCAAACAGATGCTGTATCAGAGGATAGTTCCGAATCAGAAAACTCGGACTCTGAAGACGAAGACGGTAAAGTACTTATTCATAATTTATAGTTATTTTTTGTAATACATTATTTTATTCAGCTTTGAAAGACGGTTTTGCTCACATCAATCAACTTGAATGGGATAACACCAATATATTCCAACAATGAATTGCGTAATGCCATGAATTTTTTCTCAAAACTGGAACTAAAATATGTAAATGTGCTTTTAAAATATAAACTACTAAACCAAGAATTATCCAACAGTTAAATCAGTTCAAATGACAGTCCGCATATATGCATGCACACATAATTGTAAGGACGCGCATTTATATATGATTTTGCGAAAAATGTTTATGTTGCAATTTTATGATTGTAAAAACTAAGTCAGTGGACGTGCGCAATACACATTTGCATGAACATGTAATATTAGCGCGGACACAAGTTATAGCTAAGGTATAGTACAATTATTATATAACCAGCGTCGCTAGATCCATAATAAAAGCATATAGACATACATATATATACAAATAAGACCTACCGTAATTTATTGTTTGTCAACCTTCACTTAAGAATGTAACATGCACATTGTCTAACAAACTTCAACAGCATTCTGTCGCTAATGCATAGAAGGAGGTTTCTCCGTCCCCATATTATAAGCTTACAAATTAATTACGGAATGTTCCAAAGGGAATCGAAATAGCCAAATCATTTGAGTTATTTAATAAAGCAGAAGTTGTTGTTGATTTATAATTTAATAAAATTAAAACTTAGATTAAGAGACATATCGAAATATGTAAACATTTTATTTTTAAATCGACCATATAAGCTCTAAATATGTGAACTTGAAAATGTACTATTAAACATTCTCTTTTTTTGTTCATTTAAATTAGTAAAGACGGTTGCGGGCGAAATTGAAATTTAGTAACAGAAGAGGATAATTTGGATTTACTAAATGTTCGTTATCCGTACAAACACAAAAAGTGTGCTTTTTTGTCTTTGTTTTCAATGGAAAAATGAAACTTAAAAATGATGTGATTCACATTGAAAAATAAGAAAAACGCTATAGTTGTCATTTTTCCTATAAATACAACAAATTTTCGTTTTTTAAAATTGATCGAAACGATTTAAATAGATTTTTTCAGGATACATACAGACCGAAAGAGTCACGTTATTGGTGATGCTAGAATGCGATTCCTTCTGTACGAGCATCTGAACAGCATTTAAATGCTCTGGGCAAAGGTGTTAAAATATACAGATAAATATTTTAGTTATGGTTATTTTTAACTATTTTTCTTGTCTCTTTGGCGACTCATAAAATTAATTATTCTTGATCAACATCACTAGACGAGTCGATCTAGCAATGACCTTTTGTTACTTTCTACTTGTAACCTTGCATTAAATTCTGTATCTCTTTACCCAAAGCCCTATTCGTTTTTTGTGTGTTGTTATAAGTTAAATAAAATTTTGAACTTGGAATTTCAAATGTAGTCGGTAATGTAGCAATTAGTGTTAACATATCTTGAAAAGGATACAGAACGCTTGTTAAGCTTAAACTTCCTTTTTTGGTTTTTATTACGAATATACATTCATATTTTGAATTCTAGGAAAGCAACTGTAAAATGCGTAAGTAAATACAAAACAAAAAGAATACACATTCTTGATCAACATCACTAGACGAGTCGATCTAGTATTGTCCTTCTGTCAGTCTGTCTGTCTCTGTCCGACTTTTAAATTAAATTTTTAAAAAATAGGACGACTATATCATATATCTAATATCGAAGAGCCTAACCATTTGTTTTATATTTCAGTTTATTAATGCATTGGTAAATTCAAAATATAAGAATTCAAATATACTTTAAAAGAAGAAAACTTTTTAAACGTAAAGATGAAAATAACGCCAATAAATGTCTTTGTTTTTCTCCAGCCATTTCGTCATTAAGTTATAAAACTAAAATAAACTAAAACTGATGGCCTTGAGAGGGGTGGAGATTTGCCTCAAGCAGCTCTGATTTTTTCGTTAACAATAGCGCTCCTAGCGGCTTGGTGGCGTATCAGTGAATACAGCAGATTTGCTGCATGGTATGCAAAAAAACGTTTTGTCATAAAAATGACTATTAGATACCCGTTTCTGAGGTTAAGGCAATGCGAGAGGGATGGAGACTTGCCTCAAGCAGCTCTGGTTTTTTCACTGACACACCTAGCAAATACCGCCTTAGTGAAAACAGCTGATTTACTCGATTGAATTGAAAAATAATGATTATTTGGTTATAACCTTTTAATGACTGGTCCGATTTCAATAATTTTCGTCATTTAGATGGGCATTGATTATAAGAATAAAACCTCACTTAAATTTGTACAAAATATAAAAAAAGGTGGGCGCTAGAAGGGTTTTATTACATTACAATAAAATAATTTTCTTCATTTAGATGGGCATTGATAATAAAAGTAAAACCCCATTTAAATGTTAAAGTTTTTTTTTGAAGTTACAGTCGTTTGAGCGCGTTAGAAACCCAAGAATCTGCATGCAAAGTCCCGGTAAATATTATCCTGTATTGCTCGCTTATAATGCGCACTTTCTCTTTTTTGTGCTTGCAGAGCAGGCAGCAAGCCTTTGCTTTGCAGCTCCTGGCTTGGGGGTCTTTTGCGCCACAGTGGTATCAGAACTTTAAACAGTTGTCCTGACTGCTGCATTTGTCTGCTATCGCATCGCTCAATTAGTTCGCGGCCCGACATATAAGGAGCAGTAGTAAGCAAATATAGATATTTTCTTATCGAAAGTGTCGATTATCATAAGCTCTGTGTAAAAATTATACAAGTTACAAATTTTTAAGTAATACAACCTTTGGGTTTTTCTACAATATGGAAAAAAAGGAGTTTCGTGTCCTGATTAAGCACTGTTTTTTGATAGGAAAAAATACAGTAGAAGCAAAAGCTTGGCTTGATAAACATTACCCAGATTCTTCTCCGGGAAAATCAACCATCAAAGATTGGTACAATGAATTTAAACGTGGTCGTGTGGACACCAAAGACGCTGAACGCAGTGGTCGCCCAAAAACAGCAGTTACGCCAGAAAATGTGGCAAAAATCCGAAAAATGGTATTGGCCGCTCGCAAATTGAAATTAAAGGAGATAGCTGATGCCTCAAAGATATCGGAAGGCAGTGTGTTTACGATATTACATGAACATTTGGACATGAGAAAGCTCTGCTCGAAGTGGGTGCCGCGATTGCTAACACCGGACCAAAAGCAACAACGCATCGATGCTTCCGAGACGTGTTTAAGCATGTTGAAGCGCAATAGGACCGATTTTTTTCGCCGTTACGTAACCATGGATGAAACCTGGATACACCACTATACTCCAGAATCCAGTCGTCAGTCTTCTGAGTGGGTGGTAGCCGGTGAAAGCCGTCCGAAGCGTCCCAAAACACAAATATCGGCGGGTAAGGTTATGGCTTCTGTATTTTGGGATGCACATGGGATTTTATTTATAGACTACCTGGAAAAAGGTAAAACAATAAACAGCGAATATTATATAAAACTGCTGGATCGATTGGATCGCGTTATCAAGGAAAAACGTCCACATATGGCCAAGAAAAAACCACTGTTTCACCAGGATAATGCACCATGCCACAAGTCTATGGCAACAATGGTGAAATTGAGTGAATTGAGGTTCGAACTTCTGCCGCACCCACCTTATTCTCCAGGTATGGCCCCCAGTGACTACTGGCTTTTTTCAGATCTCAAAAAGCACTTCCAAGGCAAGAGATATCGATCAAATGAAGAGGTGATTGTCGATACTGAGACCTATTTTGAGGGTAAAAGTTCATCTTTCTACAAAAATGGCATAGGAAGGTTGGAGAAGCGCTGGACTGAGTGTATAGCCGTAGATGGAAACTATATTGATGAATAAAACAAAATTTTTAAAAAAAAAGTGTTTTTCCTTGTTAGGCCGGGAACTTATTGAGCGGTGTGATATGTGCCCACACACCATGCACCAAAAACTTAATTTGGGGCTGAATTTAAAGTGCGAGTTCGGTCGGACAACTGTATCATAAAGCTCCCATTTGAATAATCATTCCTTTAATATTTCAGATCTTCGAATAAAATTTAAAAAAATCAGACTGCTTTATCATACAAAAACCGTTATATTTCGTTTTCGGTAAACATTGAAATGAAACAATTTTTTAACATTTCTGTAAATATTTTTTAGTCCTGCGAGGGTATAATAAATTCGGCTTGCTGAAGCTAATTTCTTTGCTATGGATTTAATGCATTGTAAACGCTATTTTAAAGTAATCGATAAAGTGTAAAATCACTTTATGAAACGAAAGGTATCTACAAAGTGCTCTTAAAAGTGACAATTTAACTTATACCCTCTGCACACAGCCGCTCAAAATCGCTGTTGCAACTTAAGCGGATTCTTGCTCACATAGAGAATCGCTGAAGCGAACCCGAAGGAAAAGGACTTTCAATTTCAAAAAACCCGAAAAACGCAAAACTTATTCAATTAAAACGCTATCATGTGGAATGTTTTCCGCGCCAAATGATTACTTCATTGCTTTTAGCAAAATAATCAATGATGAGACTACAGAAATAATTTCTGAAATTGTTGTTAGACCCTGTCCCTTCATATCACCAACAATGTAGGCTTGTTCACCTACCATCCCTTGCGCTTCGTAGAAGTATCCTCGCCATTTGCTTCATCTCTGATTTGGTGGAGGGTAGTATCGAATTCGGGATTTTTACCATTTTTTCTCGAGCTGCGGCGGACAAATTGTTCCCAAAATGAGTCCCTCTATAGGGCTTTATATTAGTTTAATGCACTTCCAATTGATATGCAATAGGACTACTTCAATCAATCAATTATTTTCTAAATTTTAGTACGTAAGATAAGCTTTTTGAATTGTATAAGTAGCCAGTAAAGGTATTCCGTTGGCGGAATAAGTAAATAAATAAAATGTTCTTAAAGTAAGAAGGGAAAGGACTAAAGCCTAGTACTCAGATCGGCTAAGAGTTTCACTAGTCGAAAACTCTTGTTCTTTGTAGTGTGACCGAAGTACTCAAAGTTCACCCGCGCCAGCTGGGTTTTTTTTATTGGCAAATGAAAAATTGATGGAATTTAAAAAATACCAATATGCTGATGCACACAGAAATACAAATGTTCAAAAGATCTTTTTATTTATTAGTAGTTTAAGCCTTCCTTTTCTTGTCATGGAATGCTTCGCCATTTTCTCCGTCCAGCTCCGATTCGCAATATTCTAACATGGGCCTTGAGGGAGTGGAAGGCGGATTGGGAACGGAGTTGTTCCTCTGATGCCCAGCATTCTGGCAATGGCTGGTAATGGCTCATCCACGCTGTATAAGCCAGCGTCTATCTCCGCTTTAGCGACCAAGAAGCTGGTGATTATGGAGTCCTTTGGTTCCCCAATGGAGAGCTCGTCGGAGATCGTATTACTGGTGGTTCTGCTAAAAATATACTTCTACCAGTACGATGCTACCAATTGTCCATATAGGGAGCGAAGTCCCACTCGACATGTTTCTTATACTGGGATATTCTAGTAAATCTCCTCCAGCACTTCAACTACTCTGCGGATTTGCCCTGTTGTGGTATTGCTTCCTGTCGGAAAAATCCCATATCGCATTTGCACCGCCAAAGATTACATTTCTTATTCTTTGGACCGCGAATAACGGGGTTCAACGAAATTCACTCGCTAAATCTGGTATTCTTTCTGTGGAAATTGAAAAGCTAAAAATGTCAAAAATTTAAATGGTCAAAGATCCTGAACGCCCTAAGCTAAAGAAATGTTTTATGTTATTGAAAAAATAAATAATAAAACGATATACTTTAACATACTTGTTCTTACTAAAAATTTCTGGGACTATTTTAAAAGCTGGACTGTCGATTCTAAAAACACTCTCAGAACTTGTAAGTAATTTGCTATTTAATTTGAGATCCCTCAACTTTTGACGTATTACACATTATCAGAAAAACTCGCGCTTAGAAGTTATTGAGCGTAAAAAACTAGAACTCAGTTCAGGGCAGGTAACTCTTCAGGTTTATTTGAATGCTCCAAAAATAATAAAACCAATAGTCAATAGTAGTTCCTCTGGCTCTGAAAAATTCGCTGTCGCGTTATGTCGACATACATAAGTAAAAATTCTAACCGAATTCAAACAAAAGAGAAAAGCAACAGATATTTAAGACATATATTTTCAGTCACCAAATAAAAATGATTTAGATATTAATAAAAGTCTTCACATAACAGTTATTTAGACTTTTATTGTTTAAGTCTAATTGTTATATTTAGACTTTTATTTCAAAGTTATTGAACACAAGAAATGGGAAGACTTATATTTCAGTCAAATAATAACTGTTATTTTCACACTTTAATTTAAAAGTCGTAAATCATAGAATTGTCAATTTTACCTATCAAATAGTTACTCTTACGTAATACGTAATACGTAGGCTTACTATTAAAAAAGGTATGGATCCAACCCATAAATTGTAGTTAAATAAGTATTTTTATAGTTATCCAATTCATAAAACATAGTTAGAGAATTTTTTTTGTAGTTAATATATACCTTAAAATGGAAAAGTGACTTCCAGCTAGTATGGAAGTATGTTGAAGACTTCAGATAATATTCATATGTTTTAAGTAAAGTCTTCACCTTTCAGATTTTGGCTTGGCTAGAACCAGTTGGGAATTACAAACCACACATTGGAGAACATTTTTAAAGTTATTTTAGAATTTCTAGTACTGAAACAAAGAAAATGTTTTTTTTTTATAAAAAAAGCCAACTTGATTTTTGTGGTAAACCCGTCAACTTTAATTAAAAACTTATTTACAAGATAATCATTGCAGTCTGCAGACAATTTATTCACGGTCCATCGAATTATACTAGCGGTTGGCAGTTTCCTGTCACTATACAGTTAAATACTTTCATTGAAGTCTGGTAATGCTACAGTGTTATCTCGCTCTTCGAAGGTAGAACATATGCTAATTATAGCCAGTCGGAAATAATCACATGCTAAGTGCAGTGTTTTCCCCGTACTTTGCCAGTGATTTAGTGGTTTCCGTTTGAAACAACATTCCTCCTTCAAACTTTGTTCCAAAGCAAGTATGTTGTAATGCAATATATTATATTATAAATTATTTTATAAAGTCTTTAATTTTCAGTATCGGACTTGGTTCGGCAGGATGTAGTAACAGTTGGGTACTATAATTGCCAAAAAAAAGTATATTTAAGTTTCCATCCTTTTTTAACTCTAAAATAACGATTTTGAGTGCGTTCTTTTATAAGGGAGGTTGGCAGCAACTTGTCTTGCCATACATCCATTATAAGTAGCTTCCTCCGTTCTCACTTGATTTTAAAACAAGCACGTTAGAGGTTTTCCTTTTTGGAATGCGATCCTGGGTATTATCCCTTCAGTTCTGCAGTAGGGACGCGGTGACATGGCTCAAGGCAAAAAGCTTTTTTTGTGCCTAAAACGCTGTGCCGCTGTTGACGTCAGCAGAGCAGTCGGCGCAGCGTAGAAGACTGCCCACGAAAACGATCGTGCAACAAAGAGAGGCAGATATTCGGATATTTCCCTCTCTTTCTTGTCTTATAATCTGCCTGCAGTCCGCGCTCGCAGAGACAAATTTCGGCTGGTCCGTTATTTTTTTTTGCGTCTCTCCGTTATGTTCGGCTAGCGACTAATATTTCGGCGGAAAAATTTTCGTGGAGAAGCGACATGTGAATGCCCTAATATTTTAGGAGCATTATTGTGTATCGAAAAAAACAACTAATATTGTTTTATAAAAGTAAACTATTTGATTATAGTAAAATTTAGTAAATTGAATTTACTTATAATGTTATATTTACTTATTATACATTCTTATTACAATATAATTTTATAGTTAAGTTATAGAAATTTAGTCCGTTAAAATTGATTTAAGTATTTAAAACATTTAAGTATTAACATTTTAAAAAAAATCGTATTGTATTTTTTACTCAAGAAGTAAAAACTATATAGTCGGATATATTTCACTTTAGAAAGGGTATAGGTGCAGTGGCAAGCGCCAACAGCGAAGAGAAAACAAAAGAAATCTAGTAAAGGGGTGAGAAGACTTGGTGCATTCTGTTTGAGTGATTGAAAGGGAAGCATCCATTTTAATGGTGCGCAGCAGAGTTACTTTAATCGTTTAGTTAATATAATAAAGTCAGGTAAGTGCTACATTAAGTTTAAGATGTTGTGCATTGATCTTAGTTTAAAGTACGTAAATTTTGAAGGTATTCCATGGGTTCCGTTATCCGAAAGTAGATGACGAAATGTTTTGTGCCAATAAAAATCCTGCAAAGGGTTAAACACAGCTATAAAAGGTAAATATACAATTAAACAAATAAAACGCATTTTTGAAACATATTCAGGAGCGTTGGCCAAGGATTCAGAGGACCCGGACAAAGGTTTAAGAACGGCGATGACTAACGTTAAAAATAAGCTTACGAAGCATAAAAACAGAAACAACAATTGTACAATTTTTGAAAATCTAAATAATACCATATAATTAAAATGAATTAAAATGAAATTAAATATGTATGTATTTTAAATTTTATATTTTTATAATTGAAAAATCAAGGAAAAACTCTGATTTTCACAAGTGATTCACTTGGGACGTGTCCCTTGCAAGTGATTTTACAAGTGAAAACTCAAGGAAAAATTCTGATTTTCCCAAGTGATTCACCGGCACGTGACAGGCCATACGAAAAATGAGTATAAGGAACAAGTGAAAGGAAAGGTTCCTGAAAGATATTGAAATGGAGTCCGTAAGGAAATTCCTTAAAGATTAGTATAAATTCCTTAGTACTAAGAGCTTAAAATTAAAACACACTTTTACAGCTCTTTTTTTCTTTTCTTTGCAGTAAAATCCCTTCAGTTCTGCAGTAGGGACGCGGTGACATGGCTCAAGGCAAAAAGCTTTTTTTGTTTTTTTTTTTGTGCCTAAAACGCTGTGCCGCTGTTGACGTCAGCAGAGCAGTCGGCGCAGCGTAGAAGACTGCCCACGAAAACGATCGTGCAACAAAGAGAGGCAGATATTCGGATATTTCCCTCTCTTTCTTGTCTTATAATCTGCCTGCACTCCGCGCTCGCAGAGACAAATTTCGGCTGGTCCGTTATTTTTTTTTGCGTCTCTCCGTTATGTTCGGCTAGCGACTAATATTTCGGCGGAAAAATTTTCGTGGAGAAGCGACATGTTAATGCCCTAATATTTTAGGAGCATTATTGTGTATCGAAAAAAACAACTAATATTGTTTTATAAAAGTAAACTATTTGATTATAGTAAAATTTAGTAAATTGTATTTACTTATAATGTTATATTTACTTATTATACATTCTTATTACAATATAATTGTATAGTTAAGTTATAGAAATTTAGTCCGTTAAAATTGATTTAAGTATTTAAAACATTTAAGTATTAACATTTAAAAAAAAATCGTATTGTATTTTTTACTCAAGAAGTAAAAACTATGTAGTCGGATATATTTTACTTTAGAAAGGGTATAGGTGCAGTGGCACGCGCCAACAGCGAAGAGAAAACAAAAGAAATCTAGTAAAGGGGTGAGAAGACTTGGTGCATTCTGTTTGAGTGATTGAAAGGGAAGCATCCATTTTAATGGTGCGCAGCAGAGTTACTTTAATCGTTTAGTTAATATAATAAAGTCAGGTAAGTGCTACATTAAGTTTAAGATGTTGTGCATTGATCTTAGTTTAAAGTACGTAAATTTTGAAGGTATTCAATGGGTTCCGTTAGCCGAAAGTGGATGACGAAATGTTTTGTGCCAATAAAAATTCTGCAACAAGCTATAAAAGGTAAATATACAATTAAACAAATAAAACGCATTTTTTAAACATATGTTTTTTCAGGAGCGTTGGCCAAGGATTCAGAGGATCCGGACAAAGGTTTAAGAACGGCGATGTCTAACGTTAAAAATAAGGTTACGAAGCAAAAGAACAGAAACAATAATTGTACAATTTTTGAAAATCTAAATAGTACCATATAATTAAAATGAATTAAAATGAAATGAATTAAATTCTATATTTTTTTAATTGAAAACTCAAGGAAAAATTCTGATTTTCACAAGTGATTCACTTGGGACGTGTCCCTTGCAAGTGATTTCACAAGTGAAAACTCAAGGAAAGATTCTGATTTTCCCAAGTGATTCACTTGGGACGAGTCACCGGCACGTGACAGGCCATACGAAAAATGAGTATAAGGAACAAGTGAAATCCCGTAGGACTTCGAAAAATTTTCATTTGAATTTTCACTTGTGAAAATGCGGACATCCCATACAATTTTCTATATGGAGCGTCACTTGTTCTTCACTTGTGCACGAGGACATGTCCCAGGTGATTCCCAAGGTGATTCACAAGTGAAACTTTTTTTTTGGAACTGAAGGGATCTATGTATGTATGGAATGTACATACACATGCAAGTGTTTGTCTACAAATGAATTATTTCCCTGCAGCAAAGGGCGATATATTTATCCCCTGTCGTCCAGAAGTCACGTTGAAACACATTTTACAAAAATGAAATATACATATATCGCGTAAAAGTAACTTCTAAGTCACTTCTGGACGATAGAAAGACGATAGTGCTCATTTTACAAAAACAAAAAGGGTCGGGATCGCGAAGATGTAACTTCTGAGACACTTCTGAGCGATAGAAAGACTAGTAAAATTTTACAAAAACATAAAGGATCGGGGTCTAGTATAAGTAACTTCTTAGACACTTCTACGTGATAGAAAGACGATAGTACACATTTTACAAAAATAAAATTAATGGGAAAAACACGCAATAAAAAGAGGTCGAGATAATTTTGCGTTACCCCTTTTTTCGGAAAATTTTTCGGGTCTTCCTTTTGACCCACGCTATTATTTTTCGACCGAGCGTCATTTCGTTTCGCGATTTGTCTGTGGACAGTGCAGTGTTGTATCAAATTTGTGCTCTTACAAAATATAGCTTTGTTTTTTGTAAATGTTTTTTACAACAACAAAGGGTGCGAATTAAGTGATTATCGTGAGCTGTACGATTATTTAAAGCTATTTACGGACAAGCTTGCTGTGGACATTACTAGGCGTATAACTGCGGAGAAACCCAGCACCCAACGATTGTCCGCATATTTCATTGTAAAATGTAATGTCTTCTAGTTTATTTTTACTTAGAATGAACAAAAAACAAATTTTCGTTTTTGTTTCATTTAGAAAAGGTTCTTAGTAAATTTCTTATGTCGAAGGAGCTGGACCTGAATATCATTGTTCAGCAAAGTGTCCTGCATTCCAGGGGCCGTGTATACAAGCGGACAAAGCCCTTATACAAAAAATAAATGCAAAATATTGCAAAATAAGTAAAAAAAATTCAAGATTTTCCAATTGGGAAAGACTCTTCTAAATATCTTTTACAAGCATATGTAAAGTCACTTCTGAGTGACTTCCAGAAGTGACTACGGCGACACTTCCAGAAGTTACGATCGGCGATATCGCATTCGGGAAGAAATGTGCCACTTCGGCGACACTTCTAGGAGTGACTTTAACGACACTTTCAGAAGTAACTCAGAATATTTATAAGATTAATTTATTTTAAAGTTTTAAGTGTTCTACTTTTGATCCCAAATTTAAAAAAAGTCAATCACAAAATGTCATCATATTTATAATAAAATGATCTGGAAAACAGAACAAAAGAACTTCTTTTTATACCATTTGCTAAAAATATGTTCTTAAAACAAGTCCAAAATCAACTTGAAAATGGAACGAAATCCACTCACTTCACTTTTTTAGTTCCTACCATTTTGTTCTTGAATCAATAACCCCCAGCTTAAAATAAGAAAATTTGTACTTACACGGTTTTTAAGAACAAATGTTCTCAATTCAAGCACAATTTGCTTTGTTTTTTCCTCTCTGGGAGGTGGATTCGCCTTAAAATAGCTTTTTCTTTAGATAAGTAATGTACATTTTGTTGCAACTGGTGAAGGGTCTTGCCAGAAAGGACATAAGCAGGAGGTTGTTCATTTCCTGCTGGTGTATAAAGAAATTAAAACAAAATCAAGAAATTAAGTTAACTTCGGCAAGCCGAAGTTTGTATACCCTTGCATTTATAATTTTAAATTATTAAATTTAATTCGAAATTCTTAAAAATACACAAAATGTTATTTCCAATAGTATAAGATAATATGTCAAAAAACACCGAAGCTATGATTTGTTTCATGTTATTTTCCCACCAATTTTCCTATCGATCCTATGGAAGCTATATGATATAGTCATCCGATCCGGCTTTTTCCGACTTATATACTACCTGCAAAAGAAAGAACACTTTTGGGAAAGTTTCAGCCCGATAGCTTAAAGTCAGACTGACAGACGGACATGGCTAGATCAACTCGTCTAGTGCCGCTGATCAAGAATATACATACTTTATGGGGTCGGAAACGTCTGCTCCACTGCGTTGCAAACTTCTGACGGAAACAGAATACCCTCTGCAAGTGTATAAAAATATTAAATGTTGACTTAGAGGTTCCACAACATTATTAGCTATGGCATTTTGAAATCCGTGTTATTTAAGCCAAGCTATGAGCTTTGATAGTTGAAATAGAAGACAATTTCTGTAAAACTTACCAAAAAAAAAATCAATTACAAAAAATAATATAAAAATAAATGCAAGGGTATAATAATTATTTCACTATTTCTCTGACCGTTTTTTTGACAGCTATATGTAAGAGTCGTCCGATTTTTATTAAATTTAATTCGAAATTCTTGAAAATACACAAAATATTATTCCCAATAGTATAAGATAATATGTCAAAAAACATTGAAGCCAATATTTGTTTCATATTATTTTCCCACCAATTTTCCGATCGTTCCTATGGCAGCTCTAAGATATAATCGTCCGATTTTGACAAAATTAAATTCAAAACTAATTAAAAAATGTTATTTCCAAGCGCAGGGTGTTATATGTTAAAAAACACCAAATATATAATTATACCCGTTACTCGTAGAGTAAAAGGGTATACTAGATTCGTCGGAAAGTATGTAACAGGCAGAAGGAAGCGTTTCCGACCCCACAAAGTATATATATTCTTGATCAGGATCACTAGCCGAATCGATCTAGCCATGTCCGTCTGTCCGTCTGTCCGTCTGTCTGTCCGTCCGGATGAACGCTGAGATCTCGGAAACTATGGGAGCTAGGCTATTGAGATTTGGCGTGCAGATTCCTGAGCTTCTTACGCAGCGCAAGTTTGTTTCAGCACAGTGCCACGCCCACTCTAACGCCCACAAACCGCCCAAAACTGTGGCTCCTACAGTTTTGATGCTAGAATAAAAATTTTAACTGAAATGTATTGTTCTCATCAATACCTATCGATTGACCCAAAAAAAAGTTTGCCACGCCCACTTTAACGCCCACAAACCGCGAAAACCTGTGACGCCCACAATTTTCATGCTAGATAAAAAATTTTAACTGAAATGTACTAGTCTCGTCGATACCTATCGATTGACCCAATTTGCCACGCCCACTCTAACGCCCATAACGCTTAAATCTGTATACCTCCGGTAGGTGGCGCATTTTAATCTCGCTTTGCTGCTTGCATATCTCCATATAGCTGAGTAACGGGTATCTGATAGACGAGGTACTCGACTATAGCGTTCTTCCTTGTTTTTTTTAGTTTTTTTCCGATTATTCCTATGGGAGCTATAAGATATCGTTGTCCGATCCGGCTGGTTCCGAATTATTTACTATCTGCAAAACTGAGAGACTAGTTTGCGTAGAAACGGACGAACAGACGGACATGGCTAGGTCGACTCGCCTAGTGATGCTGATCAAGAATATATATACTTTATGGGGTCGGAAACGTCTCCTTTGCTGGGTTGCAAACTTCTGACTGAAATCATAATACCCTCTGCAAGAGTATAACAAAACTCAAAAAAAATCTGGTACGTAGCTCCTCCATATTCTAGAACGCCAATAAATATTGACAAATTAGGTAAAATAAAATCAACATTGAACAAAATCTCGTCGAGTGCCTGTGCTATCAGATACCCGTTTCTCAGCTAAATGATGCGCAAGGAAGATGAAAATATGCAAGAAGAAAAGCGAATACCGAGATGGCAGGGCGCCACCTAGCGACGATAACATTATTTAATCATAATAACAAGATGATAAGCAGAACAGAACCCCATTAATACAAAACCTTAAATAATTAAGACGCTTAACAGATTTTCTTGACTAAACCCATACATTTTTGGTATTTATCCCCTTTACTCGTAGAGTAAAACAGTATACACCTATCCCTCGCTTTGCGGCGGGGATGCGTTCCAAAAAAATACGACGCAAATTGAAACGACGCAAAGTGAATTAGGATTTTCTATAGCAAACCATGTAAAGTTCGAAGATGGGTTCCAGGGTTACAAAAATACTACTTTTTAAAAAGAAAATTATACATATAAAAACAAAAAAAAAACTGTATTATTTAAAACAAAATAAATTCTTAAATTACATACTCAATTATGAAAAATAAATTAGAATTAATCACTCTCTGACGAGTCTTTAACCTCTGATGTCGTAGGCCAGCTTTCTTTAAAAAAAATTGGTCCAATGTTTGCTGAACATTTTTTTTTAAAGCCTAGTACTCACATCGACGAAAACCGCGAACTAACCATGGGAGTGAGCGAGAAGCAAATACGCGGCTAACCCTTTTCGTCGGGTCTGTTTTCCAGCGCGGTACTCAGATTATTGGCCAGCCTATTGGGACTCGGAGCTGGACTACAGATGGCGCGGGAAAGATGGCGAAGCATCCGTGGGACGAGAAGGAAGCCTTAAACTTATAATTTACATAAATAAAAACATTCGTTGAACATTTCACTTATTATACCCGTTACTCGTAGAGTAAAAGGGTATACTAGATTCGTCGGAAAGTATGTAACAGGCAGAAGGAAGCGTTTCCGACCCCATAAAGTATATATATTCTTGATCAGGATCACTAGCCGAGTCGATCTAGCCATGTCCGTCTGTCCGTCTGTCCGTCTGTCTGTCCGTCCGGATGAA